AAGCTTAGTTTTCCTTTGACTTTTCCATCGTAGCTTTTGAGGGGTGTATACACGTCTATTGTGTCAGCACCTAAATTGCATGGCGTGTATGGCACTAAATTTCCAGTTCACCTTTCCTACTTAATGCCTTGCTGAGGCCTCTACTCTGATTGAGAAACCTTATAACTGCTGGGGCCTTCTATTGTGCAAAAAATCTCAACAAAATAATGGTCTGACCCAAGAAGCACAAGAAAGTATTGTCCTTAACAATTAGAATGTCAAAGAAAAAAAAGAGGGAAATTGACAATGATGTTATGATTTTAGCTACATTATTCATCTCATTTTTCTAGTTCCGGAGAAACAAAATAAAAAGATTTCACTAAGTTTGCCTTTTGTAATGTACCGCGCTGGGCTTTGTCCCCCCCCTTAATAGAAGTTAGAAATTCGGCTTTTATAAATCTAACTTCCAGAAAAAACTTCAAAAACCCGCAACTTTCTGGGGACTTATAAACCCAAACCCAACGCTTCCCCAGAACCGATGTGGGATGGCAACCCCACAAGGGCAAGCCAGTCAAATGCCCCATTTTTTGCTAGAATCTGGGGTTCGTTAAGTTGTCCATTTCCCTGGAATTACTTATTTTGCTTCTCGTTTGGTTCTATTATACTATACAGAATTATATGTATATAACGTGGATTGTCATCTTAAGAATCAAGATTGCCAATCTGATCACGTAAATTGGCCAGAAATTGGTTGGAATTCTTTGCATTTTTCACTTGTGGAAATAGTTAAAAGAACAGTCACTAATATACCTGCAAGTTTTCCATCACCTCAAACTTTCATAAATTTAACAACTCACTAGAAAAATGCACTAATAGATTATACAATAAAGAAGATAGCGAAAGCGTGCCAGCATAGAAAAGTAGAGCGCGATTAATATTTTTCTAAATTATTAATTAATTTGAGTCTCTGGATTTCAAGAAGTCTAATAATCATATTTAGTACATTAGCAACAAAAGGAAGATAAATGAAATTGGGCCAAAAACAGTCTGGGCCAACTAGTACATTTTCCGTTTATGGGCAATCAGATGAAAAGCTAGTGGAGCATGTGTTTAAGAGTAAAATGCAGTTTTGGTATTCAAATTTTGACTCTTGAACAATTTTTTTAGTATCTAAACTTTAAACTTTGAATGAAAACAAATTCGATATGCACTTGACGGATTTTTTGTCCAATTTTCACTAGAAAAAAAAAATCCCATGTTGTCATGTGTCTGGCAACAAAATTGTTAAAAGAATTCCAAAAGAATTGATGATGGCCAGGCTAAGGAATACTAGAACATGGGTCATCATTTTAAAAGAAATAAATTAATCTAAACAAATAATTAATCGAGCTAATCATAATACGCTCAAAACTTCCCTCTTTTCTCCTCTCCTTTTTCATACCTTTCATAAACAAACACCTTAAAAAATAACTATTCAACTATTTGTCACAGTAAATATAAAAAGTACTGGAGCATATATCCGAGATTTATAAAACATTTGTATGTACTATTTTTTTTTTTTTTTGGTCGACACAGGGGTGTCCGGATCAATCCTTACGGGGCCCGACTAATCCATTTGTCGACTACGTATGTACTACATATGTAGATTTTAGAACTTTGTCATACCATTGTATGACGACTCAAGTGATATTAACAGCTGGGTCAATTTGAAGTTGTCAACAAAAGCTACAAGTGATTAATGGACTAATAAGTCTAATTTTAAGCACAAGAACCACCTTCTAGAAACTTATCTATTTTCTTTATTTATTGATAGAAAGATAGGCAAATTTTATTAATAGCATACTAAATCTGCTTCAAGAACAACAAAAACAAAAATAATAAAATAAGGTGCATTACACGTGTCGACATTGAAGTAAAATTTCTCCTTTCAATTTTAAAATAATACTACTTATCATCTTACTTATAACTTACATACTAATATGTGATGAAAAAGGAAAGGGAAAATGGCAGTCATAATTGCAGCTCAGGCAACCTTTTTTTTTTTTTTTTTTTTTAATCTAATTTGCTAATTCTTGGGACATAAGGATAGAACTGACTTCATCTAAATAATAATAATTCCTTGACAAACTTGAATGCTATTAATTGCCATAGAAGATGCTTGGCAATTTCACTATTTGGCCTTTCTTAATCAATCCATGAGGCTTACATCTTGGACAAAACTTGGACGCTTTCTCAAGAATGACAGATAGCTGCGTTCAACTGCCAAAATGTAAATGAGAAGGGAAATGATAATCATAGGTGGTGACATGGGCAACATCAATCATGTCATCTGTTAATCCAGAAATAAATTTGAAAAGAATAAAAGATAGGAGTTTATTTGGATGATTTATTTGAAATAATTACTGTAGCACTTTTTGTGATGTGATATATGTGAGATAAAAAGGTGATTGGAAAAATAAAAAGGCAATTGAAATTTGTGAAGCAAATTATTTTATCTGAAATCAAGGCAATCCAAACAAGACGAATAAATTGGCCTTACTAACTATCCTTGGGAATTAGACTAACAGCATAACTGGAGTAATATTTGTTTGCTTAAAAACTTATTTGGATGTTTTGAAATGGCTGTGGTTGTTTGACAAATTTGGATGCTTTTGTATTGGCATTTTTACTTAACTTTCTCAACTATTTTGATTGTGGACAATATCTCAATGGTTGTTGTATTTATGAAGGAGAATAATTTATGTCTAAGATAAAATTGAACTCGGAATCCTTTACTTACAACACCTCCCACCTTATCGCCCACACCCAAACCTCTCCAACTTGAATCATAATTTGGTCTTAATCACTTATCCTCAAGAATTAGAATTAGAATGCGCATCTTATTTTGTTTGGTTCCCTCAAGTGGCAGAGCAAGAATTTTTATCGGATCAATTAATGGTCAGTTTTTGACTAATGAAAATATTCTAAATAAGATTGTGAAATCAATTAATTTCATATACAATCCAAATAAGATTATGAACTCCTTGTTTGTTTAATTAATTTCATGTGCTAACGATTGTACTTGCCAAATAATTGACGGTGACTTTAATAAAATTTCTTTGTTAGGGGTCAAAGTTCTTCCTTTCAGCACTAACTGTGTTACATTCTGATATATAGTCCATGTTCTACCCATCTCAAACTTTCTATATTATTTCTAGGTCCGAGACAAATATTTTTTGTTTTTGAAAGAAAAAGTTTGAATGATTTCGACCCTAGTTATCACCATGGTAAAATACGGTATACTTTTATATTTATTTATTCAAAAAACAGAGGTCCGACTAAGAATCCGGCTAACTGACAAGAAAAAAGCAGTGTCAATCGATTGATTTTGGCCCAAGGAAAGTACTTAGCAGTTGAATATTCTCACTCAGTAAAATGGTCAGATCCTTGAGAATCTCAAAGTAGAAGCAATGATTCTATTCCTTAAACCTGAAACAATTTTCCGTGCTTAGACATACTTTGGAATAAAGCATCATTTCTTTTATGAAAAAAAAGACAATCTTGTATATTTGGTTATTTGACACAAGACGTCAATACACTTCAAATGAAACAGTGAATCCAACAAATAAGGCATGACAAGCTGTGATTAATGCCATACAAACGTGAGTTTATCTTTACGATTTATTCAGGAAGTTGCTGTTAGTTTCATTAAATTAACAGAGAAGATAGTGAAGAGTGAAGGGCAGAGCCATTCCAAAATGCCAAAGAGGCAGAGAGATTATAAAGATGATCAACTAACTAATCATAATCAGCCACATACCCTTCAAGAAGGGCATCATACAGGGAGGCTTGAAAACAACTTTTAGTCCAACATAACGACATTCAACACAAATAGCCAAATATCTGAGGTTTGAGAAATGACAGCAATTGTTGCAGTCAAGCAATAGCAATGAAAGGGGGGACTACACATCCAAAAGAAGGCACAACAATATGATCAGTGTGGAACAAAATTTGCATTATAAACTAATTCAGAGCCAGCTACAATGTCACAGAAGAACAGGCAATAGGCATGAAACTTCCAATACAGGGATAACAACACTTTTTCTGTGTCCTACTTGGTCCGACCAGGGACAAAAGAACATCTGGCCAAATTAAAACAGAGAGGTTGGAGCTACAATCCTTGTGATTTCAAGACTACTTCATTAAAAGTAATGTTCATTACTACCGGAGATAGGCTGGAAAAATTCTTTCAAATGCAGTTCAAGAACTAAGTAGAAACTGCTGAAACCAGTCACATTGCTCGAAAATTTAAAAAGAACAAAAAAAAATGAGAAAGAAGAAGGGAAAAAGGAACTGCTTAGAATCAGAGAGAGAAGAGGGACTTCTGAGAGCAGCACTAATCGGCGGGGACAACTCTGGCAAGTGGATGGCAAAGACAGCACTAATCGGCGAGGACAGCACCAATCCCTTCCCTTTTGTGTAGAAATAAGTTCATCTGAAAGTTTTTATTATTTTTAGGTAACTAATTATGATTATTACTACTACTACTACTTTCTGTACCGATACAGACATGAGATGATTTACTTATATTGGCCGTCAAAGTCTAGAGGCATAGAAAAGTAGAAATGCTTTCCTTGTAACATATCCTGAGCTAATGATATGAGGCCAAGATGTGTAAGATCCATGTCACATTAGTGCTTCATGGAACAATATTGACGTACAAGGAGACAAGTTCGCATAGAAGTAATTTTACAAATAGATGCTATGTTAAATGTCAGTTTGATGAACTAAGGTTGACCTTATATGTTCCTATATAATCCTGTTCAATTGATTTCCATAATTTCATCTCTCCAACGTTCCCATCCACCAAGTGGGATCCTTTCTTGCATAGAAATGGGTACCTTAGCAATTCAGTTTTCTAAATTGCTCTCGAATTAACATATATAGAAGGGCTCAACCTGACTGATTCTTTGTGCTCTGAGTCCTGTCTGAGCTTTACAGATACAAGGAGCAATGGAAAAGTATCATTGGACACAACCATGTAGTCAACTGCAAAACACTGAGAAAAAAATATGTTGACTGTTGTAGAGCTAAGATACAACTTCAAGAAGGATGCAAGCAGCTATCAGGGTTCAGCTAATCCACATCTTTCTGCTGCAAAATACTGGCTACTTTGAACTACAAGCAGCACGGAAGATATGGCAAATTGAGTTCCAAAAGAAGTAAAAGAGCACCTCATTAACATGTTTACAAATTGCTGAATCGGTTGGACAGTTTAAAATCACCAGCCGACAAGGAAGATCTCAGGCTTTGGCCGTCCAAGGCAGAGAGCAAAAGAGACTCCATCCTGGATGTTTTCATTTGATCTGATTGAAACAGGATCTGGTTCAGCAAAGGATCATCGGACTTTTAATAATGTACCAAGGATAGTAAGTAAGAGCTATGAAGGTTTTGAGCGTAAAATCACTGCAAAACACAAGAACTCAAGAAACTGGAGACAACACATAGTTGCATGACATTTTTATTGTATTTGAAACACTAAAATAAGAACTTACCATGACGAGAGGAGCAACCAACAAGTATAGAAGGTGGGATGAGCTTAATAGCCTTCATCACAGCGGATGAAACAATTGCAGCAAGTAGCAGCGGGCAGCAAGTATGCTTGACAGTCTTGACTAACTGCGGCGATATGCTTCAAAACTTGCAGCTTAGACTTGATTGTGTTAGAAGATACTCTAACAAGTCCGTGCAGCTTTTTTGCATGAACAGACATCTTCTGTCGCTGCTCCAAAAAACATCTACATTAGGAGAAGATTTCTCAAGTTTTAGTTGTAATATAATCAGAATCAAAGTATTTAAAAGTAAAAATTGAGTAGTAAAGAAGAGTAGTATATCTGACCTTACCGGACTCTTAGAACCAAAAATCAGTTTGACAACCAACAGCTTTGGAAACTTCTGAAGTCTTTATGGCTAGAAAAAGGAAAAGTGAGACAGAAACCCATCATCTACGAGATTATCGAACAAATCACTAATCAATTGGTTCAAGAAGCTTGATAAATGCGCCTTCAAGAGGTGATTAAACTTTGGAGCAACTATTTACTCCCTCTGGAATCATAAGTTAGGGAGCTGATCACTTTAGCAATCACATCTTACATCAACAAAAGAAGATATATAAAATCAACAAAACGAAGCTCCTAGTGCTTATTTCATATTGATGGGTAACTTGTCGGAAATGCAAACCAAAAATTAATTAATACCAGCTATAAAAATCCAATCTACGTTCATCCAGGGGAGAGACCACAAAAATCTGCTTGCTAAGTGTAGGAGAAAGACGTGCAGCAGAGAATTGTTGGTTTAAAGTCTTGTAGAAAAGGTTTCTAGAATTGCTGCATGTGATATCGAATCTAAAATGTCCAATGCATTTTCAACAGGTGAAACTTCAGAGTGAGCAACCATTTCATCCTGGTGAAATCATGAGTTTAAAGAGAGTGCGCTGATGTTAGCAAACACAACGTACAAAGGACAGTAACTGACATACACGATAAACAAAACTAAATGCTCAATTCCGCCCCACATTAGTGCATTTGTTTCAGTGTTAGTTCATCCAAAACATGATTCAGTTAACCCAAGAAAATCTCATTCATTTTCCATGTTTGATCTAGTACAGAAACATGGTATTGAATTAAGCCTTCATTTGCCATGTTTGATCTTTGCATCAGCAGATAATATGTGATAGAACGTGAGCAATACCAATTTAACACTAGAAATTAACCAAAAAGATTGTTTAGTTCCATTAATTGACATGAAGCCGTGCATGGCTTATTAGTGGTAAAGGTAAAAGAACCTACTCTGTTGTTACTTCAATTATCAGTTGATATACTCTCAAGGAAAGAGAGGATTTTCAAAAGTGAAGGCAGTAATTAAAGAACCTACTCTGTTGTTCCCCGACTGAGCTTTAAGCCTACAGTCACTGCAAAACAGAAAACTCAGATTCAGGACTTCACATAGCAAATCATAAGGCTAACTGGAAATTGCATGACATTTTTTTTAGTCAATTATTCAGAAAGCCAAATCAATATTTGTTTCTGTTGCGCTTTTCTAACCTAAATCAGTAAGAATATATCAAATTTTTCTGCTCAGTCTACAAGTACCAGAAGTGCCATAGAAACTATATTAGTTTTGGTTCAAAACACTGAAAAAAGAGTAGCACCTACAAGCGTGAAAGGCAGAGAGCTCCTGAATTGCCATGAAGGCAAACTCTTTGAGACAGCAAGATGCAACGCGTAGAGCTAATTATAACTCTTTTGACTCTTAAAATCTCAAATCATGGCATTTGAACATAAACTTCAGAAGGCGATAGTCTACCAAGCCTCTGCTGCTTGAAGAAGGTCTTAAACATAACAATTTTTTAAAGGTTTTAATTAATTCATTGGATATTAAACTTCTTAAAACCCAATATTAAGCAGTGGAAGAAGATGATTGGTATTAAAAATTATCTGACAGTAAGTAAGTAAGAGCCATGGATGAGGTTCCCTGTTGAGTTTTGGGCCTAAAATCGCTGCAAAGCACAAAAATTCAAACTCAAGCCGGCGAATAGCATAGAATAAAGCAAATGGAAATTTTCAGATAATTGCAGGTTTTCTGTCATTGTAACTAAAGCCCCAAAAGGAGAAACTTACCATTAAAAAAGGAAGCAACCAACAATCATAAAAGCAGAGAGAGCTTAAAAGCCTCTATCAAGATGGATTCATTAAGAGAAGCAATTCACAACAAGCAAACTTGACTAACTACCAGAATGCTTCAGAACATTGCACATAGAGTTGTTCAGTTGGAAGATACTCCACCAAGTTTTGTGCAACTTCATTGCTCAAACAGTACAAACCTTCCTTTGCTACCTCAAAAATATCTTCATGACAACAAGATTTCTTCTGTTTTATATGTAACATATTAGATATTAAAGTGGTTAAAAGTCAAAATTGAGTAGTGAAAGAAGAGAAGCATAACTAAAATTACCAGAATTTTTGAACCCAAACATGAAAGTGATGACCAACAGTTGCGAAAACTCCTCAATAATTGACCATTGTCTTCATGGATCAAAATCCAAAATCAAGGATAAGTGAGCCAGAAAACCATCTTATATGACTCTGATAGAGCAATTACTAGCCAAATAGTTCAGATAAGTACGCAAGTTCATTATCAAGAGGTAAAAGTTCAGTCCCCTTAGAATCACAATTTTAAATAGAGTGAGATGACTTTAGCATTAATAACTTAAAATCCACAGAAGCAGATCACGTAAAATAAACAAAACAAGACTTCTAGTTGTTCTAAACGTTGATAGACTATTTGTAGGAAATGCAGGCCAAAAGTTATTGAGTTCTAGCCATATAAACGGTGCTGAAGAAGCTTCAAAATTCTAACCTCTGTTCGTGAAGCTATTCTTCTATCAATCCTACAAAAACAAAGCATAGAACAGAATATGAACAGAGATACAGTAAAACATCAAAGCACGAAATAGAACAGGTGCTTGGGGTCATTCTAATTGATAGTTACAAGAGCATTACTATTATGTTGTAAGGAGTAAATGAAGAGCACCAATATTTTGGACCTAATAAGAAATGCTAATGCCGCAGCTTTGAAAGATAATAAATAGGACGATAAAAAGGGAGAAGAGAAAATTGTGAAAATAACCACGGAGACTTTTTAGGTTTTCTCACGAGAAGGTTAATCAGAGGGGGAGGTGAAGAGAACGGGAGATTGATTGCAAAGCAAATTAAGAAAGTGGTTATTGAAGGCAATCTTACGTGATTGAATTTGATCTGAAGATGAAAGTTGGTTAATCATCGGTTATGTCTAGGTCTTGAATGTGAGAAACTTTGGACCACTGGGAGTCGGGGCCGCTGCTCCCAGGAGTGCATCTTTCTTTTAACAGAGGAGAACCATGGACCTGCAGACGTTTTAGTTTGGTGAGACTTCTCATGGCATCCTCAGAGGGTAGATGTCCAAGCCCTTTGAAACCAGTTAACCGCAGCGCTTCAAGAGTAGCGAAGTTTCCGAACCAATCTGGCAGAGCTTTTATACCTCCAAAGCCACGTAGCGTTAGTGACGTGAGAGTGGTCAAGTATTGGATCTGAGGTGGCAGTGACTCCATGTGTGGCAACCCATATAATACTAATCGACGGAGTGCGCATGACGAAGAGGAGGAGGAGGAGGATATCAATCCAGACCAATCAAACTCATTGTAAATTGAAGAATTTTCATGATCATCACCATCATCTGAGAAGGGACCAATTTCAAGCTCCCTTAAGCTAGTTAGGAAACCAAATCCTTTGGGCGTCATGCTTGTTTTCAGTTTGGGACACCCCAATAATTTCAGCTCCGAGAGAGAAGGCGTTTGTTGCAAATCAGGCGGAAAGGAGATAAGATTGTCGCACCCACTCACCTCAAGCTTCTGGAGAGAGGCACAAGAGTGTAGAATGTCACCGGGCAGATTCGTTAACCCATCACACTTATAAATCTCCAGCTCTTTAAGAGACGTAAAGTTTTGTAGGGGATGGAGTTCTCTGCATCTGTTGCAGCAATTAAATTCCAAACGCGCTAACTTGGGGAGTGTTGTTGCTAACTTGGGGATTGTTGTTGTTGTTGGCAAATCCATTAACCATCGAGGAAATTGATCGCCCATAAAATTCCAAATTACCAACTCCTCCAAATTTGGGTGGGGTCGAAGGCTGTCTAACACATCTTCGTCGTTGTAATTGTCGCCTTCTCGATCATCTGCCCACTCAAGTTCCAGCCTAAATAGATTTGCCTTTTCAGATAGTTTTGCTTCCTCAGCTCCTTTCTTATCCGTTACTAGTTCCAGATTGCGTATCTCCAATTTGCCTTTGAGGTTCTTCAAGCTTCCAAGCTCTCCAATTCGCCGACCCTTCTCTCGACCCACGTTAAAGAACTCTAGCGTCCGAAGGCAAGTCAGCCGTCCCATCTCTAGCGGCATTTGAAATGTTTCATCAAATGTGTAATAGTGGAGATGTCTCAAACTAATCAAATTGCACATCCTCTCCGGAAGACGGTCAACATCTGAGTGACTTAGCGTCAATGTCTGCAGATTATAAAGCTTGCAAAGGGAGTCTGGCAAAATACTGATTGCAGACCACTTAAGGTTAATGTACCGCAAATGTATCAGTTTGCCAATTGAGACTGGTAGCTCTCGAGTTCTTGTATGAGACAAATTCAAAACATACAAGTTCTTCAACTTCATTAACATATCACCAGATAAGTAACCTTTTACAAACAATGTATGAAGCGAAGTTGATAGACTCTCCAAAAGTTTTTCTCTGTCTTCTCCACCACCAAATAAGTCTGTTGCAAGGTAACGAATCTGATTACCATTGCCTACTATACTCGTATCCCTATCAATAATGACTTTGGTAGACTTTGACATTAACTCGGCAAGGTCGTGCACCAGATCATGCATCTTATAAGATGTTGATGTTTCTGACTCATCAATTATTTCTTCAAACAATGAACTCTGCAATAAAATTCTCAGATAATTAATTACATTTTCCTCCATCATCATTTGGCTGTTGATGTCTGCTTGGAGGAAACCTTCTGCCATCCAAAGCTCGATTAGCATATCTCCTTCCATCTCAGTATCCTTAGGAAATATAGAACAATATGCAAAACATTTCTTAATGTATGGAGATGGCAAATTATCGAAACTCAACTTAAGTATTTGCATGACACGATCTTCATCTCCACTCAAACTTGAAAGCCTATTCTCCAAAATTGATTGCCACTCCTCTTTTCTCTTTAAAGATAATAGACCTCCAATTACACTTGCTGCCAATGGTAGACCATCACATCTTTTGATTACTCTCTCTTTAATTGCTTTTAGTTCATCAGGTACTTCTCCGCCTCCAACTACTTTTTCTTTTAGGATAGACCAGCAAAGATCATCAGGTAGCCTTCCTAAGGCATAGGCTTCATCATCCATCCTCAGAACTTTCAACACAATATCTGCCAGTTGACCAATACGAGTAGTGACAAGACACCAGCTTCCATCAGTTGGATTGAGCCCCTTCAAGGTGGTGAAAAAGTCATCCCACAATGCCTGATTATCATCCCACACATCATCAAGGACAAGGAAATATCTTTTTCCCTCTAGTTGATTCTGAATTTTTCCAACGATGACATTCCTATCATCCACTTCAACCTTTTCTCCCGTCAATTGCACTAGTATGAGTTTGAAAAGTTCCACTACTGGAACTTTTTTTGATACGCAAACCCACAACTTTTTCTGAAAGTGCCCATCAATTTGGTGATTGTTGTATATCGATTTAGCCAAAGTTGTTTTGCCTAGACCTCCCATACCAGTTATGGGAAGACAAGAGACAACCTTCTCAGATGGGCTCAACAGCATCTTCACTATCTTTGATTCATCATCGGCTCTTCCAGTCATTGGAACAGCAACCGAGTCGGTCTGCCTATTTCTTCTGTCTCCAGCATCAGCAGCAGCAGGGAGGGCAGCTGTCATGACTGCCCTGCCGATCAGTCCCAATCCATCGGCTTCTTGATTGATCTCATTCAACTTAAGCTTGATGTCCCTGACCTTAGAAGCCATTCTCCAACGGAAACCAACGGAGTTAGAGCAGGAGAAGAAGCAACATACCTTGCTCTTGGGTTGGTTCCGGGACTCCACCTTGCAACGAAGAGATTCGTAGTTGAGCTCATCCAACACATTGCCAGCATCATAAGCAACTTCCTCCAGACTCTTCAACCATTCTTGGACTCCCCGGTCCTGGTTTTGTTGCCTTTCCTCAGCATCAGCCAAGAGAGCATTGATAAAGGTAAGAGTTCGACTCATGCTGGCCAGATCCTTCTTGAACCCAACTAACATACCAATCCTATCAGTGGCAAGAGATACTGCCGTCTCCAAGGCAACCTGAATAGTGGCACTAATGACAGCGTCGGCCATTTTCCTTTCCTTGTATGGGGCTTAATAGCTAGGATGCTTTGTTCATATCAGATTGGTGATTTCGTTGTATGTAGCTTGCTAGGATGCTTTTTCCTATCAGATTATAAAGATGGGGATGGACAGAAGGGTAGAGGCTTTCGTCAAAGTTTTGGTGAGAACCGATTTATTTATTTATTTTTCAAATTTAGAATGGGACCGTGGGTTCCGGTGGTATGAACTGAAGTATGGTGGAGCCACTAAGCGAGTTATGTAATTTACCCAATTTATAAAGGGTTATATGTAATTTATCCAATTCAGAATGGGCTTCTTCCCCGGTTTTAGTTAATTATATTGTTGCAGCTAGTGCTTCAGTTCACGCTAATGACAGGCGGACTCAGGGCCGGAACGGTTGCAGGTGCAACCGTTTCGGAAGCTCGTGTGCATTTTGCACACGATGTAACATCATTTGTACGCGAACAATATTTTATGGAATCTACACATATTAAAATCTGGACCTTACAATTTTTATTGGTCAAATCTTGACCATTAACTGGCAGGAACGGTTACCCCTTCTTATGCCAGGCCAGGCCCTTGGGTTGCTGAAAATATGTCTAATCCTTGATATTTTTTAAAAAAGAATACTGGAAAAAATCGAACTGGATATTAAAAGTACATTTCCATCTAAAATATTCCAACAATAAAACTACTAGAAAAGTAGTATATAGAACAGCTAACATTTCCAGCTAAAATATTAACAATATACAAAACTAGCAGGAGAAACTATATATATAGAAATGGATGGGTCACGTTCGCGTCTCAATTGTTAATTTGTTATTGTGTCAGCGCGGCGGCTTTGGCCATCTCAATTATTACCGCTGCACCAACGACGAGTGTATGCAGAAAAATCCTAAACAAATCATCCAATGAGGGTTTCTCAGCTTAGAAAGAAGAGCGCTGCTTCTTTTGACAAACTTGCAAATGCATTCTCCACAGAACCAACTAACATTTCCATCTAAAATATTACCAACAACAAAACTACTAGAAAAGTAGTATATAGAACGTACTCTCAATTGTTCTTATATTATATTAGGGCGGCTTGGCTATCTCAATTATTGCACCTGCACCAACTAGTTTGTCCAGAAAAAAAAAATCTAAAGAAATTATCCAATGAGATCTGCCATTTTTTGTCCCCGTGAAACGATGAGAGCGAGTGTTCGGATCAGGATGAGTTTTGCAGCATGGAAGGTATTAGTAGCATTGCAAGGGCTTGCTGTATGGAAAAAATCCTAAGGATATTTCGTCGTGCCAGCTACAAACAAATAGCACCAGCAAGCGCTAACTGTTTGGATTGCATTTTTTTAGATTTTTTGTAGAAAAATTACTGTAGCAATTTAATATATGTGAGATAAAAAGGTGATAGGGAAATGTGTTCACGAAAAACGTAACAATTTTTTCTTGAAAAACTGTTGTCCAAACAGGGCCTACTCGGCAATTTTGTGCTAGCGTAGTGAGAGCCTGCAGGGTCACGCTAAGCTGAGTCTACTGAGTGTAAAGATACTCGGCTCGTCAAGACAGCTCCATTTTAAATATTTTTAATAATTTTTATTTCATGCATCTCTCTAATATTCTTTTGGATTAAAAATAAAAAATCCCCTTGTGGTATACCTAATATATAGAAAAACCCTCCGTAATTTCAAAATATACAAAACGACACTTCATGTTTTGAACTAAATTGTAAACTAACAGAATTTAATCACCAACTCTAAATGTGTGACTTTTTTTTAACAACTTTGAGTGCCATCCAATTTTTATTTGTCAACCTTTTTTTTTCAATCAAAAGGAACACTAACTCAAAAAGAAATGCTCAAAACTACTACCAAAATATGGTAATTCCATCAATCTAAAATGCAGTATGATGATGATAATTTCTTCTCCAATTTAGAAAGAAAATGTATCCCCTGTAAAGCACCATTAAAAGCATTCTATCATAATGTGAAGCTAGTGGTCGTAAATGCTGATCAAACAATAGATTTGGTAATGAAAACTTGACACTCTTTCCTTATATTTGTGCTAAGAATTGCTTTGGAAAGTAATTCATCTTTATAATCTAAGGGTATTTGCTGACAAAATTTAAACCAAGCTATTTAGAAGTTGGTATGGTAGTTTTGGAATTAGATTTATTATATAGTAACTAGATTTAAATTGATATCAAAGTTGGTTTAGAAAATAGAGTTGAGTTATATTTTAGTGTTGGAATTAGAATAGATTTAGTAATATATGCATCTTATATAAGGACTTGAAGGATTCGTACATTTATAATTGAGGAAAGTTAGCATCAAGAGAATAAAATCCTAAATCCTCGCCTGCCTATTTGTTCGTTATTCATACTTCTTTTTTTTTTTTTTTTTGTAGTTGCTAACATTATTGACAGTTTGAAGGCCCCATATTCACAGCAACAAATCCCAAGCTTAGGCCGGCGGAGACAGAGAGAGTCAAAGGAGATTGCCATGATGTATTATTTCAACAAGGAATCCAAGGATTTTCAAATGTGAAAAAAAAAATACTGGAAAAAATGGTAGGTACAAGTACAACTGGCATTTCCACATAGAATATTAGCAATTACACCAGTTGAAAAATTACAGAAGTGCATGGCTATATCGATTATTGCACCTAAAACACAACAAGTGTGTACAGAAAAAATGTAAAGAAATTATTGCTTCTCAGCGAAGAAGAAGATTGCTTCTCTTCACAAACTCGAATACATTTTCCACCGAAGTTGGTTGGAGTTTTACTTGAACGTTTCTAAATAAATGCAGGGTATTTCTTGTTCTTTATTTTTTTTTTCGGCCAAATTTTTGTTTGTTTTGTGCTTAAATGCTGGGCCTTTTGTTCCTCGAATCTTGCTTGGTTTTAGTTAATTATGGTTACAGAGACTACTTAGTTTACGCTAATTCTGGGGCCTTGGGATGCTCAAAAAGTCTAGTCCTTGGTATTTAAATAAATAAATAAATAAATAAAAAGCTGAAAACAAAGGTACCTACAGTACAAATGTACAACTGGCATTTCCACCTAAAATATTAGCAATAACGATAGTAGACAAATTCTCAATTGTATATTAGAGCGGCTTTGCTATCTCAATTATTGCACCTAAAACAACAAGAAGTGGTCTTCTCAGCGTAGAAGAAGAGAGTGCTTCTTTTACTCTTATGTTTCCAAATCAATGCTGGGTTTTTTTTTGTTCTTTATTACTTTTTTTTTGGAAAAATCATTTAAAATGTTCCACACATTTCATTAGATAAATTTTTTTCGTCTATCATTTTTAAAAGGACAAATTCCACTTTATCTCCTGTGATTTAGTGTTTTTCTACATAACCCCCCTATGGTTTTAAAAACTATACATAACCCTCTCATAATTTGGATGAAAGTGTCAAAGTAATGGAAATGGTCTTTCGTAATAGAATCATTTAAAATGTCAAAATAGCCTTATGTAAAGGTGAAAATTTTTTATTGATCAAGGGGGGTTATGTGTATATTCCTAAACCATAAGGGGGTTATATGATAAAATATTAAACCATAAAGGAATTATATAGTAAAATATAAAAATCACACGGAATTAGTGTGCCATGTATTTATAAGGGTAATTTCGATATTATCAAAAGTTTCATTATGAATGACTATTTCCGTCATTTTGACATTTTAATTCAAACCATAAGGAGGTTATGTACAACTTTTGAAAGCACCATTAAAAGCATTCTATCATAATGTGAAGCTATTGGTCGTAAATGCTTATCAAACAATAGATTTGGTAATGAAAACTTGACACTCTTTCCTTATATTTGTGCTAAGAATTGCTTTAGAAAGTAATTAATCTTTATAATCTAAGGGTATTTGTTGATAAAATTTAAACCAAGCTATTTAGAAGTTTGTATAGCAGTTTTAGAATTAGATTTATTATACAGTAACTAGATTAAAATTGATATCAAAGTTGGTTTAGAAAATAGAGTTGAGTTATATTTTAGTGTTAGAATTAAAATAGATTTAGTTTTAGAGTTGAGTTATATATGTTATGTAGAAAAACACTAAACCATAAGAATTCTTTTGAAGTATAATTATTACTAATATATAGTTTCCATTTCTCGTGGATTGTTCTTAATCTCTCCTAAAGAATTGTTGCAAACTTTTTTGGTTTGTGCGTCACTTTGCATCTAAGAGTTCTAAATTTCACCACCAATTAAATAGTTTCCCTCGCAACTTTAGTTTCCTTTTCTCTTCTATTTCCAATTTCTCCTTACTTATGTTTCCTTGTTGCAAGGCTTGCCAAACTAAATAAGATATTTGTTATCGATTTCTTTGATTCCTAAAACACAAGAAAATTTTCATTCCTAATATGTATTCCTGTTTACTTGTTTAATTGATTTTTAAAAGATATTAGCAAAGAATTTTGGGCAAATTACATTTTACTCTCCTGTGATTTAGCATTTTTTACATAACCCCCTATGATTTTAAAAGCTATATATAACCCCCTCATAGTTGGATTAAAGTGTCAAAATGACGGAAATAGTCATTCGTAACGGAACTTCTAAAAATGTCGAAATTCCCTTATAAATACATGACAGATTAACCTCGTATGATTTTTATATTTTACCATATAACCCCCTTATGGTTTAATATTTTATCATATAACCTCCTTATGGTTTTTAAAATATACGCATAACCCCCCTTGGTTAATAAATAAGTTTCAACTTTATATAAGGGTATTTTTGACATTTTAGGTGACTCCATTAGGTGACACTTTAATTCAAACCATGAGGGGGTTATGTATAACTTTTGAAACTATAGGGGAGTTATGTAAAAAAATGCTAAACTATAGGAGGGTAAAGTGGAATTTGCCCAAGGATTTTAGATCCAATTTGGTGCAGTGCTACTTTGACAAACTGAATCGGATGCTTTTGCAACGGAAGTCGATTCGCATTTTCAGTTCACCTTTCTTAATGGCATGGTCGTTGCTGGGATTCTTCATCTGCTTTTGATCCGCACGCTTAAAGAAAATGCCAATCATCATTGAGACTCTTAATAAATCTCACGATGAATAATTTGTTGGGACATGAACGTAAGATGAATAATTTCATCTAAATGGCTGATCCTTGGTGGATC